CATTGTTGTTCATTATTACCGATTATCCACTTAGTATATCACTTATTAGGTTGCTATTGTCATCTCTAAAATACAATATTATTATTACCTTTACCGTAACCTAAGTTAACCTCTAGTTTTCAATTATTATGAATTATTTTATATAACCATTATTTATCTCAAGCTTCATTATTAATCATTAACTCCATGCAGTCACACTCAGTAATTATTGCTATTAATTATATACTCATTTATCGTGATTTTATTCCACAGGGGTTGCACAGCAATATTATTGTTATAATTCATTAGTACATCAAGTTTATTAATTTTATAGCACAATAGCAACATATTTCTTAAGAATTTAATTAGCACGAGTTTCTCCTGGATGATTAATCAATTTTAAATTAGGAGAATTTTTATTATTTATCATCCCAATCTTAATCTCACAATGGGCGCCGAACATGCATACACAGCTTGGGTTTTCCCCCCAGAACACCATGCCATAACTGCTATTCTTTGAGAACCCTCGTGTGGAGGAAGAAGAACACAGCAATGTTGATCGCAAGTGCCAATTAACTGCAACAGTAAAATAGGAATGTCTTTCATATGTAGGCTTATGCTCTTTTTTTGTTTGTTTGTTTTTTTTTTTTTGCTTTCCATTGTTGTTGTTTGTGTAAAGTTCTGAATTGCAGGTGGTGTTGTGGATGGTTTCATGTGAAATTTGGATGTTTGTAAAATTGTCTGCTCTGTCCTTTTTATTAACATGATAGTCTGTTTTTGCTATCTTTCAGAGTTAAAATGAGAGAGAGAGAGAGAGAGAGAGAGAGAGAGAGAGAGAGAGAGAGAGAGAGAGAGAGAGAGAGAGAGAGAGAGAGAGAGAGAGAGAGAGAGACTGATCCCGCAATGTTAAAAGAAATATATATATATATCCACTTGTATGGAACCGCCACAGCTTGTACCCATTGTTACTTCCGCCATGAAAGTTATGCAGCACTGGTTAGTCTGTTTGTTTGTTTGTCTGTTCGTTGGTTAGCAGGAAAACTCAAAAGGTTATGAACAGATTTTGATGATTTTTTTTATGAGTTGTGTCGTAGTCCAACCTCGATGCCATTAAATCCGGATCATGAAATCATTAACATTGATATTTCCGGAAGCACGGACGGCAGTGGGCTTGAAGAAGAGGCGATTCTATTGTAATTCTTAAAGTGTGGATATTTGTATTGTTTCAGTGCCTTGGCGGCGGTATGCATATGAGAAATTATAGTTCACCAGACGATAAAAGTTGTTTCTTAGTTTCTTGTCTCTTGCAAATTATTTTCGACTCATCGTCTCCAGCTGCTTATTGTTATTCTTGTCTCTCACGGGTTTTTAAAATTAATGTATGAACAATATCTGCGCGAGAAAGATAGTATTTACTGTTGGTGTTATCATTGCTGGAACCTTGACTTTGCACTGAAGAAACGTGTTTAGACATAGTTACTAAAGTTATTTATAATATTCATTATCGTGTTTATTTATTTGGCTGTTTATCTATCTATTTATCAACCTGTGTATCTATTCATGTATTTATCTATTTACTTCGCAATTGGAGCACATTTTTGCAAATGACATACTGTATTTGATAAATTTTAAAATAGTTATACGTTCCCCATGCCCTGCCGTCTTCATAGCCATAGTCTCTAAAGGTTGCAAGAGTAGGAAAATAAAAAAAATAACCCTAGTAGGTCCCGCTGACCCAAGGACACCGCGCCACATCTTCGGCGCGAGAGGAGAACCCGCAGTTGCGAGGGTGTCCTTAAGGAACCAAGGAGTGTCCGAGAGGCGTCCGCAACCACACCTGGATCCTGGGACACCTCCCTCCCTTCCTTCCTTCCTTCCTTCTCTCCTTTAAAAAAAAAGAGAGGGATATCCTACAGTAGAATCCCCAAGACCTTCTCTCCTTTAAAAAAAAAAGAGAGATATCCTACTGTAGTATCCCCTAGACCTCCCGTCTGCGGTGTTGCTCCACAAGCGAGGCCATGGCTGTGTTGGACGAAGGGCTGCGGAGGCTTGGCACGCTCTTCTACGCCGTCTCGCCGTGGGCCTCCTCCTTCAGGACGGTGAAGGAGGTGCCCAATTACATCAATGAGGTGAGGCGAGTGAGGTTTTTTTTGCGTGAGGGGATGGGGTACGTGTATGTTTGTCTGTATTTTGTCTATACATGCCTACACACACACATAAACGCACGGACGTACACACACACAAACGCGCACACACACACATACACACGCACACACCATACAGACACACACATACACACACACACGCACGCACACACTACTCACACACACACACCCATACTCAATACACACAGCACACACACACACACACACACACACACCACACACCACACACACACACACACACACACACACACACACACACATCACACACCTATCACACACACACACACACCTCAACACACCCATCCTCACACACACACACACACACACACACACACATCCACACACCACACACACCCACACCCATCCTCACTACCCACACCAACACACACACACCCATCCATCACCCCACATCAGTCCTCACTCACCCACACACACCCATCCTCCACTCCCCACACACACCCATCCTCACACACACACCATCCTCACTCACCCACACACACCCATCCTCACTCACCCACACATCACCATCCTCACCACAAACTCAAAAAAAGACTAAAATAAACCATAGACAACAGAATACTTTTACTCCATGGCTCTGCGTTCCTCAATGATCACCGCATTCCTCTCGCTGCGTTCCTCATGATCACGTTCCCTGCGTTCCCTCATGATCACCGCATTCCCTCTCACAGGCAGTTCCCTCATGATCACCGCATTCCCCCTCACTGCGTTCCCTCATGATCACCGCATTCCCCCTCACTGCGTTCGATCACCGCATTCCCTCCGCTGCGTTCCCTCATGATCACCGCATTCCCCTCGCTGGCGTTCCCTCATGATCACCGCATTCCCCCTCCCATGAATTTCCCTCTGAATGATCACCGCATTCCCCCTCGCTGCGTTCCCTCATGATCACCGCATTCCCCCTCGCTGCGTTCCCGTCATGATCACCGCATTCCCCCTCGCTGCGTTCCCTCATGATCACCGCATTTCGCTCGTTCCCTGCATGTTCCCTCTCGATGATCACCGCATTCCCCCTCGCTGCGTTCCCTCATGATCACGCGCATTCCCCCTCGCTGCGTTCTCATGATCACCGCATTCCCCCCTCGCTGCGTTCCCTCATGATCACCGCATTCCCCCTCGCTGCGTTCCCTCATGATCACCGCATTCCCTCTCGCTGCGTTCCCTCATGATCACCGCATTCCCCTCGCTCGTTCCCTCATGATCACCGCATTCCCTCGCTGCGTTCCCTCTCCCGCTGATCATGCGTTCATTCCCGCCTTCCCTCGCTGCGTTCCTCATGATCACCGCATTCCCCCTCGCTGCGTTCCTCATGATCACCCGCATTCCTCTCGCTGCGTTCCCTCATGATCACCGCATTCCCCCATCGCTGCGTTCCCTCATGATCACCGCATTCCCCTCGCTGCGTTCCCTCATGATACCGCATTCACCGGCATTCCCCTCGCTCGTTCCCTCATGATCACCGCATTCCCCCTCGCTGCGTTCCTCATGATCACCGGCATTCCCTCTCGCTGCGTTCCCTCATGATCACCGCATTCCCTCTCGCTGCGTTCCCTCATGATCACCGCATTCCCCCTCGCTGCGTTCCCTCATGATCACCGCATTCCCTCTCGCTGCGTTCCCTCATGATCACCGGCATTCCCTCCCTCATGATCACCGCAATTCCCGCTGCGTTCCTCATGATCACGGCATTCCCCTCGCTGCGTTCCCTCATGATCACCGCATTCCCTCTCGCTGCGTTCCCTCATGATCACCGCATTCCCTCCCACAGGCAGTCCCCTGGTTCTTCGTCATCGTACTGGTGGAGGAGCTGTGCGGGCGGCTGCTGCAGGGGCGTCAGCTGGGTCGTATGTGCGATAATGTGACCTCGCTAAGTCACGCCATTCTCTACGAGTCTGTCAAGTGAGGGCCTTTAAATCTTATTTATTTTAGATTTTATTATTATGATTAAAAAATATATATATATTTGTCTATTTATCTAAGAGCGACTTTTTAGATTTGATTATTGTGATTTTTTTGAAAATTGTTTGTCTGTTTATCTATGAGCGAGAGAGAGAGAGAGGGGGGGGGAGAGAGAGAGTAGAAGAATTGAGGAATAAAAGGAATACAGGAATTTTTTTTTTAATTATTATTATGAATTTTTAATTTTTATCTATTCATCTAAGAGCGAGAGAGAGAGAGAGAGAGAAGAGAAGAAGAATTGAGGGATAAAAGGAATACAGGGGAAAAAAAATATTATTATGATTTTTAAAAATTATTTATCTATTTTTTTTCTTTTGTCCTCTCCCCCCTCCCCTTTTTCGTTCTTTATTTTAATTTTTGTTCTACGAGTCTCTGTGGTGTTTTCTTTTTTCTTTTGTTTTCTTGTATTCCTTTTTTTTCGTTTTTTTTCTTATTCGACCCTTTTCGTTTTTTATTGTCATTCTGTGTTTTATCATCTCGGTTTTGTTCTTATTTTCTCTTTCAATTTTCTCTTTTCGTTCTTCATTTTCTTCTTTTCATTTTTTGTTTATATTCTAACTTTAATCGTTTCTGTGAATATTCCTACTTTTGGTATTGATGAATTGATAAATGAATAAATATGCGAATTGATAGATAATTGAATAATTAGACGAACTAAGAAAAGGGGAATTAGTGATATTACTGTGATAATTGCCTTGTTTGGAAGCCAATAATGAGAGGAAATTCAACACGTTAAGAACACGTTTCTCTGATCAGCTGTGATGAGCGTTGAAATCACTAGCCATAAATTTTTTTTTTTTTTTTTTTTACTTGGTAGATAAATAAGTAGTTTGACTGACTGCCAGTTGGATGGACAGATAGCTGAATAGATATATAAAT